GGAGCGACTAAGCCTGCGTGCCACACGTACTGAGCCCGTGCTCCAGAGCCCGAGAGTCGCAGCTGCCGAGCCATGCACCCTATAGCTCGTGCTCCACAGCAGGAGAAGCCACCGCAAGGAGAAGCCTGGCACACAACACAACTAAGCCCTACACACATCACAACTAGACAGAAGCCCCTGCCCACCGCAACTAGAGAAAACCCTGGAGCAGCAATGAAGACCCAGCACAACCAAATAAATAAATAAAGTTATTAAAAAATAGAATGAAGAGTACCGTATAGTTATGTCATAGAATGTTCCTCAACATGAGTTTATCTGATGCTGCTTCATGATTTGACTCAGGTTATGCTCTTTTTTCAGGAAAGCCACATTCGTGATACTGTCTCCTCTGATTCATATTAGGAGGCAAACGATGTCAGTATGCTCAGTCATGTCCAGCTCTTTGTGACGCTATGGACTGTAGTCCGTCCCATTATTAACGGTACTGACTCTAATCACTTGGTTAAAGCGGTGTTTGCCAAGTTCCTCTGGTATAAAGTTGCTATTTTTTATTTTGTTATGAGTAATTTGAGTAGAGGTACTTTGAGACTATGTAAATAAATATTTTATTTCTCATGAAAACTTCCCCACTAGTTTAGGATTGATGATTCTCGTTTGAACTGATTACTACTACATATATTACAAAATAGTGATTTTTCTAATTATATCATTTCTTCCCCAGTTATCAGTTGGCATTCTACTGTAAAAAGGAGCTTCTCTTCCTATGTGTCTATGGATCCATCCATCCATCCATCCATCTACCCAGCTATCCATCCATCTGTTGTTGCTCAGTTGCTAAACCGGGTACAACTCTTTGTAACCTCATGGACTGCAGTAAGCCAGGCCTCCCTGTTCCTCACCATCTCCTGGAATTTGCCCAAGTTCATGTCCATTGCATCGGTGATGCCATCCAATCTATCCATCTATTATCTATCTATCTTCCATATAGACATATATTCTTATGTTATTCTGTGTTAAAATACATTATTTGCACTATTTATTAGGATGCTCAGAAGGTATCAGCTTTGGCCAGTGGAAGTCTCTTCAAGCTGCTTCCCACATCCTTTTGACATATTCCCATCATTTTTTGATGACTTTATTGAAAATATTCTGGCCTAACAAGATGTTCTTAGCTCATCTTAAACTTTTCCTGCCCCAGTCTTGGTACTGGCTACTTCTCCAAAAAGGCCTAGTTATTTTCAGTAGGGAATGGTATTAAGAAAAAATATCTGAGTAGGAGACCCACACTTATGTAAAATACAATAATAATTTTTTTAAATGTACCTAGAAGAATCAAATGCAAATCCTCTCTGACAGACCACACTTTATTCAAGCCCTCAAAAAAAAAAAAAAAAAGAATCCCACAAATAAAATTCCAAGGAGAATTAGCATATCATTGTCAAAAACAACTAAATATGCATGGAAAAAAAATACCATATGCAAGAACCAAAAGAAACAATAAACAACAGAAATCAACTTACAAGAAAAGAAGATTTACTTTAGATATGTAAGAGCTTAGAGAAAAAATTATAAAACTTTACTAAAAGGTATTATAGATGAACTAAACAGATGGAGAACTATACTGTTTTAAAATTGGAAGACAGTATTATAAAGGTGTTAACTATCCTCAAAATGTCCTATAATTTCAATGCAATTCTAAAGAAAGTCCCACTAGGGTTTTTACATTCAGCAAAATTTATATGGGGAACCAAAAGGGGAAAAATAGCCAAGATACTCCTGAGGAAGAAAATGAAGTAGGTGGTGAGACTTGTCCCAGCAGAAATCAAGTGTTATTAGAAAGCTACAGAAATTAATACACAGGAACACTGGTACAGTGACAGATACACTGACCCCAGTCGAATAGAGTAGAGAGCCCAAAAACAGACCTTGCATCTTTAGAAACCTGATACATGAGATATTTGGCAAGGCAGATCACTGAAGAAATTGGGGTGAGACAATTGGTTAGCACCGAGAAAGTTAATTTCCCGTATATTAAAGATTTGAAGTGAAAGGAAAAATTTTACAGCCTTATAAAAGGATGTATTAGATAATACCACTTTGGTCTCCGGGAGAGAAGGATTTTTTAAACAAGGAACAAAAAGACTAACCATAAAGGAAAAGACTGCTAAGGTCAGTAATATTAAAACAAAGCACAAGACAACATTAAGACAAAAATATAAGCCAGGAGCTGGGGAGGCTTCTTGCAATACACATAACTGATAAAAGATTAGTATTCAGAGTATAAGAACTCCTATAAATCAGTAAAGAAAGAAAGGGAGAGACTGTCAGAGACATAGAGACCAAAAGAAAATAAATGAAAGACACGTAGAGGTATCTCATAGGAGAAAACCCACGAATAATCCATGAAAAGACTTACAACCTCATTAGTAATTAGGGAAATGCACATTTGATCACAGCATGCTACCATTCTTCCCACAAGATTAGCAAAAATTAAGAAATCTGATTTTATAAAGCTAGTGCAGATGTGGATAAGGAACTATGATACACTGCTGATGCATAAATTGTTACAACCACATGGAGAACAATTGGATGCTGTTTCATGAAGTTGAACATTCATATACCCCAAGACACAGCAAATCTACTTTGAAGTACTCTAGAAGTGAAGTGAAGTGAAGTGAAGTGAAGTCGTTCAGTCGTGTCTGACTCTTTGAGACCCCATGGACAGTAGCCTACTAGGCTCCTCAGTACATGGAATTTTCCAGGCAAGAGTACTGGAGTGGGTTGCCATTTCCTTCTCCAGAAATCCTTAAATATAAGTACAAAGCATATTCAAAATAGCAAAAACAAAAATATCAAATTAGATAACTGAAATGTTCATCAACAGAAAATAAAGTGTAACTTAGATCGACATGGATGAATCCTATAAATACACAGAGTTAAAAAAAAGCAAATCACAGAAAACTAAAAACAATTTAGTACCATTTTTATAAAAACTCAGAAGTAGGTAAAATAATATTTTTAAAATATATAAAAATGTAAAAGTATTATTTAAAAAAAGGTGAGGGACTGACAAGAATAAAAATTCAGGGCAGAGCCCCTCTGGGGGAGGGGCAGGCTCTGGTGGATGGAAAGGTGACGCAAGCGAATGTGGAAATATATTTTTTGGACATGCCACGCAGCATGTGGGATCCAAGTTCTCCGAGCAGAGGTTGAACCCATAGCTCCTGCACTGGAAGAGCAAAGTCCTAACCACCGGACCACCAGGGAAGTCCAATGTGGCAATACTGGCCATGTTCTGGTTGTTTTGTTGGGTAGTGGGTTCATGGAGTTCACTTTATTATGCTTCTTAATCTACATCGGGTTTCTCAGTCTTGACACTATTGACATTTGGGGCTGGATACATCTTTGTTGCGGGGGGGCTGCCCTGAGCACTGTAAGATATTTATTAGCAACCCCAGGCTTTAGCCACCAGAAGCCAGGAGCACACCGCCCCTACCCAAGTGTGACAATAAATGTCTCAGACATTGCCAAAGTCCCTGGGAAGTAAAACTGATCCTGGGGAAGAATCACTGATGTATATATTTATGTATTTTGAATGTTTTAAATGCTCTATAATAAAGCAAAGTTTAAAAGTGATGAGCAGAAGTTTCACTGTCTGTGAAGCACAACTAGGAAGTGATCATTAAGAGCTGAGAAAACCAGAGCCCGCTGAAAGCCTTTGAAGTGACGGCATGGAGCTGTGAGTGCTGACAGTTTCAGGGGGGTTTTGACTAGCAGGTGATATTCTGAGAAATGGTACCGGGTGTCGGGAAATCAGTGACTCCAGATACACTGGAGGAAATTTTCTCCAACTTTTCTCAAGACTTTGGGAAATTCAAAAGCTTAGTTTAGCCTCTTAGTGTTTTTTAAACAAGGCCTTCAGTGTATATAAGACCATCTAAAGAATTGAAAGAAGTCTGTATACTTTGTTACCTTTGAGGTGCTGGCTGTGACTGTAAATTCACCACACAAATGACTGGGATATTTCCAGGAATCAGAAGCAGACACCATAACACTGAAGGTCTGGGATGTTGAGTGACTGAGATCCCACACTCACCACTGAACCTCTTTAATCCCAGAGCCTCCCCAACAATGTGCTTCTATTTGACAGCGTCTGTCTGGTTTCTTATATTCACACCACAGTCTCCCTTAACCCTTCATGGGAAGAGTATATTGCCCTTATTTTAAAAATAGAGAAACATAAACACAGAGAGGGTACAAGGTTTTTTGAAGATAACATAATCCAGAAGAACTGATTAGAAATAGAGCGGGCATGAAAATCAGGTCTACAGGATCTTGGTATTTATGTTTTTTTTCCACCAGGCTCTGAACTGTGTTTGACCATGTGTAGACAAGCAGTTGTGTGTGTGTGTGTGTGTGTGTGTGTGTGTGTGTGTGTGTGTGTGTGTGTGAAATCTGTGGTTTGGGAGCATATGTATATTTCCCTGGGGACAAAAGCAAAGACAAAGGAAAGAGCTAGAAGAAGGAGCATTGATAAAAAAGGATGGAATCCAGCAAATGCCTTGGGCAAGACCTCTATGAGCCTCAACTTCTTTAACTGTTAAAACTTATTGTAAAAATCAAATGAGCTATGTATTGAAAGTACTTTATATTTCTGTATACAAACGTGAGTGTCACCATTAGAATATTCGTGTGTGCACACTCAGTCATTCAGTCGTGTCTGACTTTCTGCAACTCCATGGATTGTACCCCACCAGGCTCCTCTGTCCATGGGATTTTCCAGGCAAGAATACTGGAGTGGGTTGCCATTTCCTTCTCCAGAGGATTGTCCCAGCCCAGGGATTGAACCTGGGTCTCCTACATCTCCTGCATTGGCAGATAGATTCTTTACCACTAAGTCACCTGGGAAGCCATTAGAATGATTATCTAAAATGTAGCACAGATAATAGAGCAATCTTCATGGGTAGGATGACTCACATTTTCTTGGCACTTGCTCTTACCATATGTCCAGTTCAGAGGAATATTCAGTGGCTCCCAGCAAGGCATCAGGAGGGCGATACCAGAGAGTCACAACTTCTGAAGAATATGTCTGGCTGGGAATGGACTTGGCTCGAGCAAGACCTGAGTGAAGGGGGAGAGCACAGAACTTGTTGTTCTGAGACTTCCTGGAGAGTCACAGTGATACAGTCTGCCAAGGAGAGTGTAACTGGCAGAGTAAACAATATTTTAAAAATAATACAAAAATCTCAGTGTTTTTAATAGAGCTACTCGACTATCTTGATTCTTGTATGCTTCTTCATCACATTAATTTCTCTAAATTTAGCCTACTTTGCAGCTACATGTGGCCTTCCTGGCAGCTAAGTGTTGCAAGGCAACTAAATTTTTGCCAATTTGATATGAATAAAAGTGACATGTGAACTTCCTGGAGGAGTTAAGTGTTGGTCCCTTTTCTCCTTCCTCCAGGCTGTGGTGAGGAGGAGGTGGCTGCCATCTTGAAATATGCCAAGGGGCAACACTTAGGGTTGGTGTGGCTCCATGACAGAAGGAGCGTGAACCAAGACATTTTGGGGCTTCCGCAAAGCTCTGACTGCCTAGGTCAGATGTTATATGAGGGAAAATTAAGCTTCAAGCATGTTTACACCTCTGTAATTGGAGGTTTCTGTAACAGCAAGGGAAGATCAATTCATGACTAATATGACCACCCTCCATTTCTGCAGTTCAGGAATCCCCAGTTTAGCAGATAAAGGGTAGGGACTGTTAATCCACATTAGCTAGTTTGGCAGGAACTTAGATGAGTCATTCTCAAGTGCTCCTCTGCAAAACAGTACATTTGTCAGTTAGCTATTTATCTCATAGAATCACATGATCTATAGCTGTATGAAATCTCAATAGATGAGTCTACTCTTGTTGGGAATTTGATAAATGAACGTCTGTTACACGCTTACTGCAGTTATAGCAGCGTCATTTGACATCTGCCAAACAGTGAAGAGGGTCTTCTCAGCTTACATGGAACCAGTTTTTCAACAAAAATTTATTGAGCAACTGTGATGGTGCCAGGCACTAGGGATATAGTGATAAGCAAAAATGGATCCAGGCTGCCCTCATAACACTTATAGTCTAGTGGAGGAGACAAAGCCATCATATAAGTATATATGTATGTGTATATGTATAAACAGTGATAACTGCTAAAGTTATAACTGCTAAACTGATACAGTGACACTCAGGTAAATCTGCATCACTTTGATGGGAATGAAAGCCTCAGGTACCTGGTGGCTCAGTGGTAAAGAATCTGCATGCAATGCAGAAGACTCGAAAGACATGGCTTTGGTCTGTGGGTCAGGAAGACCCCCTGGAGTAGGAAATGGCAACCCATTCCCATATTCTTGCCTGAAGAATTCCATGGACAGAGAAGCTTGGTGGGGTACAGTTCATAGGGTCAAAAAAGTTGGGACAGGACTAAGCGACTGAACACACACACACACACACACACATACCATGCAGTCCCATCTGTATAGATACATAGGTGTTCTGGAGCCTCCATTCCAGCAAGAGTCCATCCTACAGTCTGGGGTTGACCTCTTTATCTGGCTATCCTGGGATAACTTTGATCTAGTCTGATGGAATTTGTACATCCACCCAGATTTAGGGAAACGTAAGAAGTACCATTCACTCTACAAAATCTCTGCATCAAAAACAGCAGTGAGGTAATAGGGGTACCCACATTTTAGGATCTGATTAGACTGAGGCTTGATGGAACCCTGAGAAGCGATCAATCTCCCCCAGTTTCTTGCCTCACTCTTACTGTATGGTTGTTTGATATCCTCAAAAAACGTCATATTCCCTGGTCCCCACTTTTCAAAGGCCAGGCCTATTTGATGCTTTAAACATGTGCACACAAAAGCATCATTGTTCATAGCCCAGAAAGACACTCGGGGGGTGACTTACCAAAATCAGCCAGTTTGAGCTCTCTCAGGTGACTGATGAGTAAGTTCTGAGGTTTCAGGTCCCTGTGAAGAACGTGTTGGTGGTGGATGTATGCCAGGCCCCGCAAAAGTTGAAACATGGAAAGCTGGAAGGAATGAACACCTTATCTAAGCAGATTTGAGCCACTGTGTGTTGATTTCTCCTCTAAATCAAAACCAGTCATCTGAAAGAATATAGTAAAAGTGTCTCTTAAGAGACCAAAGGAAAAAAAAAAGGAAGATTTTACATTCAGACAGGAAAAAAAAAGGACAAGGAAAGTCAAATAAGTAGACCATGTCCTAAACAAAGGGATTCTGGTTTTTCCTGACATCTCATTTCTTTGATACTGAAGGAATTACCCTTCCTTAAAAATCTACAGTGAAACTTTGAAGTTTCCTTTGGAACACTAGTTATTGATTTAGATGTGAAAGATTTAATTTTTTCCCACCAATGAACTTGGCATACAAGATCAAAGTTGACCTGGAAATGATATTCTAAGGTTTACAACTGCTTAAGTTTTCCAGGCTCTCTGATATAAAACCCTTTTAAAAACAGAACACAGGGAGACCAGGCTGGGAAGTATATCCTTAGATGGTGTTAGGAAATAAAGGAACCATTATCTTTTAAAACATATTTTTAAAGTCTTAAGTTCAAAGTGAAAACAAGGGAAATATACAGTATAGATTCAGAGGGAAAAGACACCAAAATAAATTAGACCAAGAAAAAAAAATCAAAAGAGAATAAGGAATAAATAGTAGAGAGAAGAAAAAAAAGTGAGGGGAAGCAAAAGGAAAAATATACCCTGGATCCAAATTTTAAAACATTGCTGGTGGTTACAAGGCACAGAAACCAAAGACATTAGTAGGGTCCCACCAATATAGAAGCCTAAGGGGAAAAAAAAAGAATGCTTAGTATTCCAAGTATCTTTTGCTGTTTTCCAGTGCAACTGGCAACTGAGAATGTAAACACCAGTGTTAATGTTTACAAAGACTTATGCCAACTGAGAACATGTTCTGGCAGTTTTGAAAAGAAAGAGCCAACCCCAGCCCCAGCATTTCTGGGACATGGACCTAATGGAAGACACAAAGTTGTGCAGATAAATTCACTTTTTCCATCACATCTTGGAAACTAGGAACTTCAGAGATGCTTTTATAGAACCTGTAATAACCTAGCAAAGACTTGGACACCCTGGAATCAAGCTGATAAGCACCATGGTCTGAGCACAGAGGATCCTGGAGAGTTTGCCTCCCACGGCACAGCTGTGGTTGTGTGGGCTCCATACAGGTCCCATATCAAGGTCCCCAAGCCATTTAAGAAGGTGTGCATGTGTCGGTGTAGGACTTTCGTGCCTTGACAGTTGAGTGATGGTAAAAATGAATAACAAGTAAATAAAAAGTGAATAACAGTGTGTGTGTTTGAAGTACCAGGAAGAAAAAGAACTGGGATGAGAAAGACTCACAGAACCAGCAAACATCTGAAGGAGGAGCCTCAAGAAAATCTTAACATCCTTAAATGGCTTGGGGACCTTGATATGGGACCTGTATGGAGCCCACACAGCCACAGCAGTGCCATGGGAGGCAAGCTCCCCAGGACCCTGCTTCTCTCAGACCAGACCATGGTGCTCATCAACTTGATCCCAGTGTACCCACCCTCATGTAAAAACCCTTGTCCTTGGATTTCCATGCCGTCTTCCTCTACACCTCTTCTCACGGTCATCCACACAACTCTCCATCATTCACTTAAGACTTGGACACCTGCATCACAGCTGTTGTTCCCTTGACGTCAGTGCTCACTTGGATATGTCCAGCCAACCTCCACACTCCAACGATGTGCTTCTCCAACCCACTTCAGCCCCTCGTGCCCATGGTCACACACTGGGTCCCACCATCATGTAGAACTGTTTGTCCTCTGAAATGTGAAATTCCTCCCCCTAAAAAATGGTTTCTGCTACAATCACTTTATTCATAATGTTTTCACAGTGCTCACCAATGTCTTTTTAAAATATTCTTTTATTTGGCTGCGCCAGGTCATAGTTGTGGCATGTAGGATCTTCAATCTTTTTTGTGATGTTTGAAATTTAGTTCCCTGAAAGGGATCAAGCCTGGTCCCCCAGCATTGGGAGCTTGGAATCTTAGCCATTGGACCACTAGGGAAGTCCCACCAGTGTCCTTTGCTACAAAAATCCAATGGATGTCTTTCACTCTTCTTTACAGGATCTGGCTTTGTTGCTTCTGTCTTCCTTCCTGATGCTCTTTCCCCCACTTGGTACCAAAATCTCTTAATTTTTCTCCTACTTCTCTGAATGTGCTTACCATAGACTCCACTTTCTCTACTGATATCTAATGTGGTGATATTCCTCAGGGCTCCATCGTCGACCTTCTGTTATCACCTTACATGTTCCCCTTACCCATATTATCCACTAACATTGCTTCAATTAACAACTGTATTCTGATAATTTGAAAGTCTTTAGCTTCACTTAAGATCTCTTTCCTGAACTGTTGGACCCATGTAGTCTGAAGTTCAGGCACCTCAAACCCGGTATACCAGAACTTAACTCTCTGTGTCCCTCTAGAATCTATTTTTCCCATTTCTCTATTTCAGTGAATGGTGCCATCATCCACATGATTAATTAAAGCTAGAAAAGCACTGCTGATCCTTCCATCTCCCAACAATTCTGGTGAAGTAATTAACTGCCGTATGTCCACTTTCTTCCACCACCAATTCACATCTACACCACTGTTGTCCTCATGTCCTGGCCAAACCCTTCTTTGTCATTGTTTTCCACAGTCCTTCCTGTTCGTACCTTCACTATCCTGATTTAGGCCTTTATCACTTCTCACCTAGAACTTTGCCACTCGAAGTTTAGTCCTCAGCCAGCAGCATCTGTTTCACCTTGGAGTATATGAGAAATGCAAAGCCCAAGCTTTGAATCAGACTTACTGAATCAGATCATTAGTGTGCTCACTGAAGCTTGAGAAGCACTGGGCTCGCCCACATTGATAACCTCCTAACTGAAATCCTTGACTCCAGCCACCTCTCTTTAATCTATCCCACAGACCACAATTACATAAATTTCCTTCTGCTCATGCCATTCTTTTTCAATCAAGCCCCTTTAATGACTCTACTGTTTAAGAAATAAAGTCCATATCTTAGAAAGTAAGGCTCTCAGCCACCTACCCAATCTATTCCCCCAGACCCATGTACTCCATGTCACTAAGACAGTATCTGTTTTAGGCCAACAGGACCAGAGATTCAGGATGGCACTAGTGGAAAAGAACCTCAACAAAAATCTCTTTGAGCAATGGCAAAAGCTGGTTCTATAACTTCAGGAAAAATATTTCTTTTCAAACTTGAATTCTAATTCTGCAAAATAAGGAAGTTAGACCAACCCAGTGTTTTAAGGTTTTTTTTTCCTTAGTGCATTGCACAAGTTTGCATGCTTCCAGTTTCCACACTCATACATAGATATAAGCACAGTTTCTAATGGAAAAGAAGCTGCACAAAATAAAACTTGTTCTTACTAAGTGTTGCATACTATAATATTTTCTATTCCTTTCTCAAGAGGGTTTCCCAGGTGGCACTAGTGGTAAAGAGCCTGCCTGCCAGTAAGAGATGAGGATTTGATCTGTGGGCCGGGAAGATCCCCTTGAGGAGGGCATGACAACCCACACCAGTATTCTTGCCTGGAGAATCCCATTGGCAGAGGAGACTGGTGGCTACAGGCCATAGAGTCCCAAAGAGTCAGACATGACTGAATTGATTTAGCACGCAGATACACATTCCCTTCTCACTCATTCCATTTCATTGAAAAAAAAAAAAAATGCTGGTTGCTGATTACCAGTTGATTTCATAACCCACTAATGGACTAGCACCTGAAGAGTGGAAAACACTATAGTCCCTTCAACCCCAACAGTCCGTGTGGCTCTGGGATCTTCTTCCTTGAACACACCCTCTACTTCCCTGCTCTGAACCTTCGCTGAAAGCATTCCTTCCTCCTCTAGCATCTTCCCCTATTTCAGCCTCTGAAAAGCATTGCAGCTTGTAAGGTCTGGCTTATCAAAACCTCTTAAAATGAGAAGATATCTTTTACTTCCTTGCACATCTGCGGCATTAGGTCTTATTTCTTACTTGGTATTATTCACTGATGTCCTGGAATAGTGGTGGTGTCTATCTTACCTCCTGTTTTTGGCTCTACATCCTTCGAGGATAGGAATCATGTCTTCTGCATCTTTCTGTCCTGCTAAACACTTAGCATAGTGCTTGCTACAAGAGTCCTTCAAGCCTGAAAATTTTCTATCTTTCTCACAGTTACTCCTTCTCCAGCTGTTCTATTTAATCAAACCTCTGGTTCCTTGACTCCTCTGCTCTCTCCCCTAGCTTCCAGTAACCTGCCTGTCTTCACGTCCTTCCCTCAGATTGGACTCAGTTTAGAAGCCCCTGACCATCCCTTTAGCCTCTCTCTTGATAGTCTCCAAATATGTGACCCAACTGTCTCTTCCTCTCACATGTCTGGCACAGTCCCAATTCTCAATCGGTCCAACTTTCTACTTTCTCTGCTTCTCTATATGAACTAAGTGCTGCCATTAAAAAAATAAAAAAGAAATCCCATGATCATGCAGATAACTTAATGGATTCCATCCTCCTCAGAGTCCTTAACACACTACTAGACATTCCTTCTTGGTCCCCCTCGTTAGTTTTCTATTTCAGTTTCCTCTGAGTATTTTTAAATGTTTTCATTCTCTTCAAAACCCTGTCTTCAAACCTTCCTTTCCCCTTGCCTCCATGACTGGAGTCCCCTAACTATGAGTCCTCATAGTATTCCTAATTAACATGGCCATAGCCCTCATCACCTTGCTTCTCACTACCTATCTGGTTACAAATACAAACAGGAGTACGTCAAGGCTATATATTGTCACCCTGCTTATTTAACTTATATGCAGAGTACATCATGAGAAACGCTGGGATGGAAGAAGCACAAGCTGGAATCAAGATTGCTGGGAGAAATATCAATAACTTCAGATATGCAGATGACACCGCCCTTATGGCAGAAAGTGAACAACTAAAGAGCCTCTTGATGAAAGTGAAAGAGGAGAGTGAAAAAGTTGGCTTAAAGCTCAACATTCAAAAAACTAAGATCATGGCATCTGGTCGCATCACTTCATGGGAAATAGATGGGGAAACAGTGAAAACAGTGGCTGACTTTATTTTTCTGGGCTCCAAAATCACTGCAGATGGTGATTGCAGCCATGAAATTATAAGACATTTACTCCTTGGAAGGAAAGTTATGAGCAACCTAAACTGCATATTAAAAAGCAGAGACATTACTTTGCCAACAAAGTTTCATCTAGTCAAGGCTATGGTTTTTCCAGTGGTCATGTATGGATGTGAGTTGGACTGTGAAGAAAGCTGAGCGCCAAAGAATTGATGCTTTTCCTATCAAGCTACCAATGGTATTTTTCGCAGAACTAGAACAAATAATCTCACAATTTGTATGGAAATACAAAAAACCTCGAATAGCCAAAGTAATCTTGAGAAAGAAGTATGGAACTGGAGGAATCAACCTGCCTGACTTCAGATTATACTACAAAGCCACAGTCATCAAGACAGTATGGTACTGGCACAAAGACAGAAATATAGGTCAATGGAACAGAATAGAAAGCCCAGAGATAAATCCACGAACCTATGGACACCTCATCTTCGACAAAGGAGGCAAGGATATACAATGGAAAAAAGACAACCTCTTTAACAAGTGGTGCTGGGAAAACTGCTCAACCACTTGTAAAAGAATGAAAGTAGAACACTTTCTAACACCATACACAAAAATAAACTCAAAATGGATTAAAGATCTAAATGTAAGACCAGAAACTATAAAACTCCTAGAGGAGAACATAGGCAAAACACTCTCCGACATAAATCACAGCAGGATCCTCTATGACCCACCTCCCAGAATATTGGAAATAAAAGCAAAAATAAACAAATGGGACCTGATGAAACTTAAAAGCTTTTGCACAACAAAGGGAACTATAAGCAAGGTGAAAAGACAGCCCTCAGATTGGGAGAAAATAATAGCAAACGAAGCAACAGACAAAGGATTAATCTCAAAAATATACAAGCAACTCTGCCAGCTCAACTCCAGAAAAATAAATGACCCAATCAAAAAATGGGCCAAAGAACTAAACAGACATTTCTCCAAAGAAGACATACAGATGGCTAACAAACACATGAAAAGATGCTCAACATCACTCATTATCAAAGAAATGCAAATCAAAACCACAATGAGGTACCATTACATGCCAGTCAGGATGGCTGCTATCCAAAAGTCTACAAGCAATAAATGCTGGAGAGGGTGTGGAGAAAAGGGAACCCTCTTACACTGTTGGTGGGAATGCAAACTAGTACAGCCGCTATGGAAAAGAGTGTGGAGATTTCTTAAAAAACTGGAAATAGAACTGCCATATGACCCAGCAATCCCACTTCTGGGCATACACACTGAGGAAACCAGAACTGAAAGAGACACGTGCACCCCAATGTTCATCACAGCACTGTTTATAATAGCCAGGACATGGAAGCAACCTAGATGCCCATCAGCAGACGAATGGATGAGGAAGCTGTGGTACATATACACCATGGAATATTACTCAGCCATTAAAAAGAATTCATTTGAATCAGTTCTAATGAGGTGGATGAAACTGGAGCCCATTATACAGAGTGAAGTAAGCCAGAAAGATAAAGACCATTACAGTATACTAACACATATATATGGAATTTAGAAAGATGGTAATGATAACCCTATATGCAAAACAGAAAAAGAGACAGAGATGTACAGAACAGACTTTTGGACTCTGTGGGAGAAGGCAAGGGTGGGATGTTTCAAGAGAACAGCATCGAAACATGTATATTATCTAGGGTAAAACAGATCACCAGCCCAGGTTGGATGCATGAGACAAGTGCTCGGACCTGGTGCACTGGGAAGACCAAGAGGGATTGGGTGGAGAGGGAGGTGGGAGGGGGGATCGGGATGGGGAATACATGTAAATCCATGCTGATTCTTGTCAATGTATGACAAAAACCACTACAATATTGTAAAGTAATTAGCCTCCAACTAATAAAAAAAAAAAAAGAATTGATGCTTTTGAACTATGGTGTTGGAGAAGACTTGAGAGTCCTTTGGACTGCAAGGAGATCCAACCAATTCATCCTAAAGGAGATCAGTCCTGGGTGTTCATTGGAAGGACTGATGTTGAAGCTGAGACTCCAATACTTTGGCCACCTCATGCAAAGAGCTGACTCATTGGAAAACACCCTGATGCTGGGAGGGATTGGGGGCAGGAAGAGAAGGGGATGACAGAGGATGAGATGGCTGGATGGCATCACCGACTCGATGGACATGAGTTTGGGTAGACTCCAGGAGTTGGTGATGGACAGGGAGGCCTGGTGTGCTGTGATTCATGGGGCCACAAAGAGTCAGGCATGACTGAGCAACTGAACTGAACTGAACTGAAGTCCATATATCTTACTGGGCTTCAGCTCATTGAAAATAAGAAACACAACTTACTCATTATTGAAACCTTAGGATTTAATATGGTACTGAGTACTCAAATATATCTTGAATGAATGAATAAATGAACACATAAATATTAGTTAAATGAATGGATATATCATATACAAATCTCATATGGTTATGTTAAGGGCCAATCAATTAATGCCAATAAAACCTTAGAGAATGAAAAGTATGACATACAAATGGTTTCTAAAATTTATAACAAATGTGGAATTACAGCTCGTTAAGAGTTTAATATTATTTCTATTCCAATAACTGGAAAGATGGAAGTTGGTCCCACATGTAATAGGATCTAATAGAACAGACAAAAAGATAACTGATAAAGAACCAATCAAGGTAGTTTGCTAGCTCTAGCTGGGAACTTTAAGTGCAACATGAACTTTATCACAGAGCACAGTAGTCTGCTATGAAGAAAGTATTTATTTTATGATAGCTTAACTTCACTTCTTTCCTTTTAAGGCAATTCTTTTTAATTGGGTTATACTTTTAAAGACACATTTGCTTGATGGTGATGACTGACAGGGTTAGGTTGCCCAGAAAGCGGCTGGACTTGGCTCCATATCTTGAGGGCAGATTTTTTTTTTTTAACTTTTCTCTAGAATATCAATGGTGTCCATCCTCTTACCTGGTATCCTGGGCTTTCAGTGTGTGATGGCAGTCTGTTTCAGAATTCTCCTGCTGTGGGCAAGCCAGGGGGGAGTCCCGGCCCTCAGGGTACTCACTCTGACATGATGAGGATGGAGCCCTCCCGGGTGCCGAGACATATACTGAGCCAGGTCTGTGCGCTACAAAAAATGGTGGCGAGAGCCAGGTTAGTGGTGGTTGGTCAGGGTCAAAAGCAGGCCACAGACTGGACTCTCAGAGGGACTGCAAAGCTCAGGATTTTTGAGAATAACGTGCAAAAGGCACACAGCAGGTTTTCTGAGACACCACTGTTAAAGTCAAATGGAGTGTGTCTTTCTAATCAGCTGCTCTTAGAAGGAACCCTGTTTCTTGACACGAGAGGCTCATTTTATTTAATTTTTATTATTTATTTATGTATTCATTTTTTTATTTTAGTATTTTTTTCCCTATTTATTTATTTATTTTTTTAAATTATGAAAGTAAGATAACACATTTACCGGAGACATTGGAAAATACAGAACAAGGTTACATATAGTTCCACTATATATTATAATATTTTAAAGTAGATAAATTAAGATTTTTAGTTGGAGTATCAATATCATACTCAAAAATTACTAGAATGAATATACTGAGAAGCAGCAGGATATAGTAGACCTGATAAGCACAGTCAACCAACTCAACATAATTAAGATTTATACAATTTTCACACACCACTAAGATACAAATTCTATTCAAATCTCCATCGACTGTAAACTGGAGACACTGGAACATATCCAGGAACATAAAACAAGGTGTAAAAATTTTATGGTCTAAAGGTATTGAAATCATACAAGAGAGGTTCATTTTAAACAACTGCCACTGAACACGATGATGTGGGGATATTTGTACTCTCCAAGTGTCCTGAAAAGCAAGTCAAGTAGACATATCTCATTCTTTCTTTCTGCTAATATTTGAATGGCTTTTATCTTTCAAAAATACAAAATGATTTATTTTTTAGTAAACTTGTATGGAGTTTTTTATGTGGTTTGTCATTATTGTCAATGAAAAAATTTGTGGTCTCTCCTCAGATAGTGATTAAAACTAGATTTAAAAATAAGTGCAAAAGTTTTATTTAGGAGGCAAATTCAAAATGTTTATTTTTGTTGTTGAGAGGGGAAAAGGCAACAAAAATAGTGGGTAAAAAAGCATAAGAAGAATAGTGAAATTTCCAATAATGAAAATTTCCACAACACTTTCACATGGTTATGAAAGTTCTGTGATGCCATAAAATATTAACAGATTCCTCATACGAGCACCAGGCTCTTCCCTTACACTTTGTAAAATGCTGGGACAACTCACCACATATTCAAATACGAACGTCAGTGTCTCTTTGGTGTGTATTATGTCATGCAGCAGCACAATGTTGGCATGTTTCAAACCCTTCAGGAGTGAAGCTAGAAATTAAGCAAAAATTTAATTAAATCATTGATCATGAAAGTACTGCTTTAAAAATATCAAGCACTATTTGCTTTTTAAACATTTCAAATCAAGCATTCTGATTTTTCAAGCCTGGAAAAAATTTCTTATTGTGAAATAATTAAAACTATTTTTAAAACTTCATTATTTAGTAAATGGTCAGTCATTGCATTTATGTAACTTATTTTTCTTACAGACCAGAGCAGTTGCAAAAAAAAAAAAAAAAAGATTCCACATACCCAATCAATTTCACCAAAGTACTCAGAGCACTTTGAACATGCCTTTCTCTGGAAAGCTTATCAACTCTGCTTCAGAGCTATAGGAGAGGAAGCCTGGAGAGATAAAGGCCATTGGAGGAGCGGGGAAAGGGATGTTCTGCCTTCCAGAGCAAGACTTTGCAAGATGTGACCACACTCTGAAATTCAAAGTCCCACAGGAGGTCAGCAGGGCCTGTGGATGTGATTGATGGAGGGCAGGGATAAGAGCATGGGATGAAGGATTGCCGAAGCATAATATAGAGAGTGGAGGGGATTTCCATTTTAGAATTGAAAACCTGTGGAAAGGAGGAAATTCAAAGTTAAAAAAGAGGAGAGAGTCAAACTTGGGGAGTCCAGATGAGTGGGAAGGGCTGAGGACTGGCTCTTGTATCTTCAATAACAGGTTATTATTAGGTCACTAAAGGCCCCTCTGGGCTTCCCTGGTAGCTCAGCTGGTAAAGAATCTGCCTGCAATGCCAGAGACCCTGGTTTGATTCCTGGGTCGGGAAGATCCCCTAGAGAAATGATAGGTAACCCACTCCAGTATTCTTGGGCTTCCCTGGTGGCTCAGATGGTAAAAAAATCTGCCTGCAATTAGGGAGACCTGGGTTTGATCCCTGGCTTGGAAAGATCCCCTGGAGGAGGGCATGGCAACCCACTCCAGTATTCTTACCTGGAGAATCCCCATGGACAGAGGAGCCTGGCAGGCTACAGTCCATGGGGTTGCAAAGAGTCAGTCATGACTAAGCAACTAAGCATCACTGACTCAATGGACATGAGTTTGAGCAAGCTTTGGAAGATGGTGAAGGACAGGGAAGCCTGGCGTGCTGCAGTCCATGGGGTCACAAAAGGTCAGACACGACTGAGTGAACAAAAACAACACTTCACTCTTTCACCTTGCAGATCTTTGTCTATTTCTGGCTTTTTCTTATATATGGACTGAAAATAATTACTCCATAATGTTTTCTACTAGACAATGATCTTAAAAAATTCTCAGCTGAAACCATTTTATAACTTAAAGACTTGGAATTATAGTGCTATAGAGTATATGAAAGAATCAGAATTGACAAATATACAATATTGTATATTTTCTTTAAAATGTTTCTCTTGCATTTACTTAATATTTATACAACATGCTTCATAAAAACGTTTCTATTTTTATTTTTTATTTCTACTTTTGCAAAAGGAAAAAGTGCTTGAGTTAAGCATTCCTAACTTTACCGTAATAAAGTAGAAAGGCTTTAGAGTAGAATAGAATGGATTTGAATATGTAATGTTTCTGATTACTAGCTCTGTGACCTCTGACCAGTTATCTAACCTAAGTTCAAACTCCTTCATCACTATGACAAAAATCACACCTTACCAACTAGAGTTGATGTAAAGGTTCAAAAAAAAAAGATTGAGGTGGGGGGAAGATTATATTATGTGCCCAATCCTCAAAAAAGATTAGTTCTATGAATGCTTCCTAATGAATGCTGCTAACGGGCTGAAAGTCCTGGAAGTTCTTTTTAAACAAAGTTTCTATTTTTACAGAAAGATATTTAAAATAATATACATTATTAAGACATTGATACATAGGTCAATAATGAAGGTGGCTAATCTTTTTAACTAGCAGAGGAATAAGGATGGACAGCATGCCTATCGTGTCCGCTGCTGTGTATATAGCAGCCGGCAAAATACCTGGCCATAGTAGGTGCTCAATGAATACTCGTGGAATGAATGCAGGAAGAGTGTATGGATTTTGACTCAGAGAGATTTTTGCTTGACTCACAGCTCTGTACTGGAATCATAACAATATCTACCTCCAAAGGACTGAAAGAGGTTAACACATGAAAAATATCTGGCACATGTATTAAGGTACATGTGCATGCTTTTGCTAATTTCATTACATTACATGTTACAATCAAATAATATTCCAAATGACCAGATTAATAAATTGCCACATGCTTTCTACCTATACATATAGAGACTGCACATACAGTAAAATCCTACTCAGTGAATCTTTGGCTGATACACCATTAGAGCAGCCGAACTTCAGGAAAAGTAATTCCTACTGCAAGGCTTTTTAGAGGAGTCTGCATTGCTCATTTAGTTTTTCTGCACGTGGCTTTCGGTTGCCTTTTTAGCTAGTGACCCTGGATTTTAACTAATGAACTCCAGCTGTTCTTCTTTTGCCTTCCAGCCCTTCTCGTTTAACCTCCTGTCTCCCTGGCCTCACATCCTTAAAGTTCTTACAGGAAAAATGGGACACTGCCAAAGTTTTCAAATGAGGCCTCATGTCTTCTTGAGGAGAGAGGACTCCTCTATCAAGGGCTCCCAGCACTTACCCTGGTGGAAAAAGAAACATGCGTTGTTGGAAACTGGATGCCTAACAACCCCCAGTGTGTAAAAAAAAATCCTTTTGTGGTTTTTCATATTAAACAAGCACAGCATTCAGTAAGGTAAGTCCATAAAACAAACCAAGAAAGTCCACAGCTGAATACTAAAAGTAATTGCAAACACCTGTGATGGAGAGGCAATTCCTCAGTAAATAAGAAATAAAGGAAACATTTAGCATACAGAACAATGCAGATCCAGCATTTCTGAACCATGCTGAGAACCATCTGTTAGCAAAACCGGCAAAGTTTTTGCTGTTAAAAGTCAAATGTCAACCTGAAAGAAACTTGGCTGTGGAGAAAATCTGAGCAAGGCAGGCCTGTAGCAACAGGCAAATGCACCTCACAAAGGAAGGAAACACTGTGAGAAGAGGGTGAACCTGGGCCTAGAGCCCACGCCTTATGCTGGTCACCTGGGATGTCTATTATGCTCAGAAATACTCCTCAGCCTGTGCACACATCTCTTTCTAAATCTGATCATCCTTTCATGGGGACCACTAATAAGTCCATCAGTAAATACAGCGTCCATTATATTAAACACTTAAAAACACACTTTCCTCCAGAATGCACCTGATCCTACCAGGTTGAAGCCCCGGCTAGCCGCATAGACATTTGGTCTTTCTACTGAAATTCAGAATGACACATTTCCCAGGGGTTCTGGAAGCCTTTTGAAAATGGCATCAAATTCAGTTATAAACTCATTTTCTGAATTGCTTTTCCCAAGCCTGTTTGCATGACCCATCCTCCAAGCCCAGTTCAAAATCTATTGACTCTATTAGCCATACTGAGACTGATTGGTTGTCATCTCAGTTGACAAGGTCTTTTTTACCTTCATTATAACACTGCTTACAACCTGAACCATCTGCTCTATTACAACTGAAAAGATACATAGCAAAGATAAGATCTTTCTTCTCATCTTTCACAACACCCTGCAGTATGCTTTGTATACAGTATGTGCTCCATAAAAAAGGGAAGATGAAGTTGTTAAAAGGGGAGAAGAAAGACCAGAGAGGAGCCATTTCTCTGGGTTTTTGATGAAAAGGATAGTAATTCTATTATCATTTTATTTCAAATGGCTCATGTAAGAAGGCTAATAAGTTGCATTTTAATAATTTATTTTCACTGTACTGGCTTCTTGATTTTTAAATTATAAATTTTTAGTTATCTTGATAGTGAACGAGACATCACTAAAAGAAAGGAACAAAAAGATAATGATATTTGCCAACATGTTGAACTCTGAAGATGAACGCTGTGATTAGTGTTTTATATGCATATTGTCATTTAACCCTCAGAATAATTCAAAGAAATAGGTATTGGAGATCAAACCAAATCTTAAAGGACATCAACCCTGAATATTCATTGGAAGGATTGATGCTGAAGCTGAAGTTCCAATACTTTGGCCACCTGATGCGAAGAGTCAACTCATTGGAAAAGACCCCAATGCTGGGAAAGATTGAGGGCAGGAGAAGAAGGGGATGACAGAGGATGTGATGGTTGGATGCCATTACTGAGTCAATGGATAGGAGTTTGAGCAAACTCCGGGAGATGGTGAAGGACAGGGAAGCCTGGCGTGCTGCAGTCCCCAGGATCACAAAGAGTCAGACACGGCTGAGAGACTGAACAACAAATCCTCTTTCTGCAATAGACAGTCTTAAATAGGAAAAGTAATCCACCCATGGTCACAGCACTAGTAATCTGTAGATCTCTAAGTTTCAAGCCCAAGTCCTACTGACATCAGACTTCTCATCTACTTGTTCTACCACCTGAGGTTCAGAGAAAATATAGGTACAACACTAAAAATACATGTTTTCCCAGAGAGTTTTTCAAATACTATCTAAAGAACTTATTTTCAGGTAAGTTGCTTACCGAGGATTTGTAAGTATATTAATTCTCTCCTTTGTATGGATCTTTCTAGGGTTATGTAGATAATGGCCTTAGCACGTAGTATGGGACCAAACTCGCAGATGATATTTAGTAAATACTCATTGAATTAATAGTTTTGGTCAACTAATATAATAGATTTGAATTCTAATTTCTTCAAGAGTAAGTAATAAAATGATTTGGAAAACTGGTGTGAAGAATAAAATTGCAATTATAACATTACTTCTATAAATATCAAAAGCTAGAAGATGAATGGATAGATTCAATGTGTTTTTATCGAAATCAAAAACTTAAAACATCTCTTGGGTCCACTCTACTGTTCTTACCTTCCCGGATGGCTGTAAATGGGACTCCTTTCTCTGCATTCATACTGATGACTTTTAAAGCCACTAGTTGTCCATTTATACTGGAAGAGTTGGGGGGGGGGGAGGGGGAAGGGCCCATGTTTGTCAACATGGCTTATAGTAGCAATTTATACTAAAGATGGCTTAACAAAGGTAACTTTCCTTCAAATTTTGTTCCAGCATATAAAATGTACAATTTTCTCATAATAAAAAGTTTTAAAAGTCATATGTATATATCAAACCATTGTTTTCTCTTTACTAAAGTGATATATATTCATTTCAGAAAATATGGAGAATATAGGAAAGTACAGAAGACAAACCCAACAAAGCCATCCTCATATTTCGATGTATATTGTTCCTTTTATTTACCATTGTGCACTGATTTGAGCCATCCTTATTTTTCATCCTAACTATTGTAATGAACTCCTAACAGTGTTTCTGCTTATATGTTTGTACCCCTACTATCTACTCCCAATGGTAGTTTAGGGAATCTTTTTAAAGTGAAAGTCAAAACAAGTCACTTTTGTGCTCAAAACCCAACATTGTCTCCACATCTCATCCTGAATAAAAGTCAAATTCTTAAAATCGGATCCTAGGTGCTACCTAACCTGCCCAGTCCCACCATTCTCTCTCTCTTCATCACCTCCTACTCTCTAGTTATTCATTATTCTGTTTGCTGATGTAAGCTAAATGCCAGAAAACAGAGAAGATTTTAATGCAAGTGTAACTATACTGTTTTTTAATACAGTGGATTTTATATCATATTATTAGTTTTTTTCTCCATTTAACTTCTAGTCATTTTTGTATTGTGATATTTAATAATAACACTTTATCAGATAAATATGCTATGATGTGTTTTGCCAGTTCCAAATATTTTAATATTGTCTCTAAATTTTGACTATTATAAAAATACCCTGACAATCATATTTGTTTGTATTTGCAGGTAAGTCTTTTCACACAGCCTCTGTTATTTTTCCAGGGTAGAGGTAGAATTGCTAAGTCAGAGTATGCAGCACACAAGTTTTTATTGTTTCGCACACATGTTTTGTCACAGAGTGGTCGCACCACTAACTGGTCATGAGGCTGGCCATTCTAGCACCCACTCACTGACACCAGACAGATTCTTTGCTTTTCATTGTTGTTGCTTCAATATTTCATTTTTTAGAACAGTTTTAGACTTACAGAAAACTTGGGAAGATAGTAGAGAAGGTTCCCATATACCTGACATCCATTTTCTTCTATTGTTATCATATTTATATTAGTATCATACATTTTTTGAATTAATGAGGCAATATTGATACATAATTATTAATAAAGTCCATAGTTTATTAGGAATTCTTTAGGGTTTTTTTGCAGTAAAATTGTATTGCTTATTGTGGGTTGCACTATAAATTGGTAAAATTTGGGAGAGTATAACTAACTCAGTTGGTAAAGAATCTGCCTGCAATGAAGGAGACCCTGGGTTAGGAAGATCCACTGGAGAAGGGACAGGCTACCCACTCCAGTATTATTGGGCTTCCTTTGTGGCTCAGCTGGTAAAGAATCAGCCTGCAACGCGGGAGACCTGAGTTTGATCCCTGGGTTGGTTGGGAAGATCCCCTGGAGAAGGGAAAGGCTACCCACTCCAGTATTCTGGCCTGGAGAATTCCATGGACTGTATAGTCCATGGGGTCACAAAGAGTTGGACACGACTGAGTGACTTTCACTTTTCAACATGATCATGGGATTCCATCATAGCTCAGTATTGCAGTGTATGCCTGCAATACAGGAGACCCAGATTTGATTCCTGGGTGGAAAAGATCTTCTGGAGAAGGAAATAGCAGCCCACTCCAGTATTCTTGCCTGAAGAATCCTACGGACAGGGAAGCCTGGCGTGCTACAGTCCATGGGCTCGCAAGAGTCAAACACAACCTAACAACTAAACACCACCATAACATGATCACACATATGAAAAGCCATGAGATCATCATCCTCAGGATTTTTCCCAATAATGTTAATTAACAAAGATTTTAATAATTCTAAGTAATGAAAGACATTGTTGTGTTAGTTACAATAGAGAAAAAATAGAAATAGCTGAAATGTTCAACATTAGAGAAACAGTTGAAAAATTTGTGGTACATCAGTATAGAAGAGTATTTTGCATTCATAACAAAAGTTAAGTCCAGAGGCATATAGAAAGAAACATGAGGCTTCAGTGGCTGGGTGGTAAAGAATCTGCCTGCCAATACAGGAGGAGATACAGGTTTGATCCCTGGGTCTGGGAAGATCCCACATGCCACAGAGCAACTAAGCCTGTGCACCACAACTATTGAGTCTGTGCTCTAGCATCTAGGACCACAACTACTGAGCTACACACCTTGCAGCTACTGAAGCCTGCATCCCCTAGAGCTCGTGCTCCGCAACGAGAGAGGCCGCTGCAACTAGAGAATGGCCCCTGCTTACTGCAACTTGAGAAAAGCCCACGCAGCAACAGACTTAGTATGGTCAAAAATAAATTAATTAAATTTTAAAAAACCATAAATATTTATGATAATATGAAAAATATAATACATAACAGCAAGCACACCATATTTGTAATGAAATAATCTATGTGCATGTGGAAGACAAAATGCACATGTGCATATGGCTATGCTAAAGGGATGGAATGATTATACAGTAGATGATTTTTAAGTTTTAAAAATTCATTTGCTGTTGTATATTGCCTTTTAAAATAGCATTTACAAGTTTATTACAACTTTCCAATTTCATTTCAAAATGCTTTCTCACAGAAACTATTTTTTCTAGATATGTATAAATTTATGAAAATCAATTTACCTCCCTTAGTCTTTTCAAAAACTGAGATATATAGCATTGTATATTCATATACAATATATATACATTGTATATATATAAACCCTGTAAGTTTAAGGTATGCAACATGTTGACTTGATACATTTATATACTGCAATATGATTACTTTAGTTTTTTTTTTTTTTTATTACTTTAGTTTTTACCTGATGTCCTTTTTCTATTCTATGATCTCATCTAGGACACAACATTGCATTTAGTTGTCATGTCTCTTTAGGCACCTCTTGGCTGTGACAATTTCCCAGACTTTCCTTGTTTTTGATGACACTGACAATTTAGAGGAGTACTGGTCAAGTGTTTTGTAGGATACCTCTTTATTGGAATTTTTCTGATGTTTTTCTTATGATTAGACCATGGTGATGGGTTTTGGTTTTGTCACATCATATTAGAGGCACATGCTGTCGTCATAATAGATGACTTTTGGTGTGGCCTTAATCACTTGGTTCAGGTAATATCTCTCAGGTTTTTTCACTATGAATTTATTCTCCCCCAATCCCTTTCCATACAATATTTTAGGGGAATGTCACTCTCAGTAGCCCACACTTCAAGAGTAGAAAGTTATGCTCTGCCAGCTTGAAGGTAGAATAGTTACACAAATTTTCTGGAAATTGCCTCTTCTCTCCCATTTATTAATTAACCAAACTACTTATTAATAGCACTTTGAACTCATAGATGTTCATTTTATACTTTGGGTTAGAACCCAATACTATTTTATTTTGTTGCTCAAAATTTTCCACATTTGTTCTTTGGGAGCTTTTTCAGTTGGCTTCTGGGTCCCTTTGACATATTTCCACAAATGTGGGGCTTGTTTATCATATGCATGCTTTTATCTTCAGTTTTGGTCTTTTTAAAAGGTGAAAAGGATGATTCCATTTTAATTTCTATTCCTTTAACTACTTGTGGAACTGAATTTTTATAAGTTTCTTGGTCTTTTATGTTTTTTTGTAGTTCACCTATTTGTCCATTTTTTGGGGAAGTATTTTGCACATACCTCTTACCAGTTTCTTTTGTTTGCCTTATCATTTCTTTGAAATTTTAAACTTTAAATGTCTTATGACATTCAGTATTTCCCAAAATGCTTTACTCAGAGAATAGGTTTGTGAAGTTTTCCCCACCCCCTATGCTAAAAATTTTCTTTTCAAATATGAAACTGAAGTCGCTCAGTCGTGTCCGACTCTTTGCGACCCCAAGAACTGTAGCCCTCCATGCTCCTCCATCCATGGGATTCTCCAGGCAAGAATATTGGAGTGGGTTTCCATTTCCTCCTCCAGGGATCTTCCTGACCCAGGGATTGAACTCAGGTCTCCTGCATTGCAGGCAGACTCTTTACCATCTGAGCCACCAGGGAAGTCAAATATGTTTAGAAAATGCTTTATACTTTAAAACTTTTCTTAATCTTTTTTAGACAGTCATGCTATAGATCAACATTTTGAAGATGCTGAGAGCACCTATGATGAAGGATCACATTATTTTTTGATCTAGGGTTACCTGTGTCAATTTGACCATGGTAACTGTTTCAGTGAACCTCTATTAAAGTATCTCAGAATCGAGGGGTCCCTAGAATGTGCTTGGACGGATGGGCCATCATGAACACGTCCAATCTTCCCTAATAGGTTCTGACTTAAGTGCTATGCACAGACAGACCTTTCCAGTCCAGAAGTTACATAGACTGCCCTTGTTTATTCTTCCAGCTCTTGCATTGTTTCTTTTCAACTCCTTTATCCACTGGGGATTCATATTGTCTATCTACCTTTTCCGAATTGCTAGCAATCATCCCAACTCCATTTATTGAACTGTCTTTTTTCCCTGTTGATTTGACATGCCACCGTGATTGTATATTCAGTTCAGTTCAGTCACTCAGTCGTGTCCAACTCTTTGTGACCCATGGACTGCAGCACGGCAGGCTTCCCTGTCCATCACCAACTCCCGGAGCTTGCTCAAACTCATGTCCATCGGGTTGGTGATGCCATTCAACCATCTCATCCTCTGTCGTCCCCTTCTCCTCCTGCCTTCAATCCCTCCCAGCATCAGGGTCTTTTCCAATGAGTCAGGTCTTTGCATCAGGTGGCCAAAGTATTGGAGTTTCAGCTTCAGCATCAGTCCTTCCAATGAACAACCAGGACTGATCTCCTTTAGGATGGACTGGTTGGATCTCCCTGCAGTCCAACGGGCTCCCAAGGGTCTTCTCCAACACCACAGTTCAAAAGCATTAATTCTTTGGTGCTCAGCTTTCTTTATAGTCCAACTCTCACATCCATACATGACTACTGGAAAAACCATAGCTTTCACTAGACAGACCTTTGTTGGCAAAGTAGTGTCTGCTTTTTAATATGCTATCTAGATTTGTCATAGATTTTCTTCCAAGGAGCAAGCATCTTTTATTTATTTATTTATTTTTTTCATTTATTTTTATTAGTTGGAGGCTAATTACTTTACATCATTGCAGTGGGTTTTGTCATACATTGAAATGAATTAGCCATGGATTTACATGTATTCCCCATCCCGGTCCCCACTCCCACCTCCCTCTCACCTCCCTCTCCACCCGATCCCTCTGGGTCTTCCCAGTGCACCAGGCCCGAGCACTTGTCTCATGCACCCAACCTGGGCTGGTGATCTGTTTCACCCTAGATAATATACGTGTTTTGATGCTGTTCTCTTGAAACATCCCACCCTCGCCTTCTCCCAGAGTCCACAAGTCTATTCTATACATCGGCAAGCATCTTTTAAATTACATGGCTGCAGTCACTATCTGCAGTGATTTTGGAGCCCCCCAAAATAAAGTCTGTCACTGTTTCCATTGTTTCCCATCTATTTGCCATGAAGTGATGGGGCCAGATGCCATGATCTTAATTTTCTGCACATTGAGTTTTAAGCCAACCTTTTTACTCTCCTCTTTCACTTTCATCAAGAAGCTTTTTAGTTCCTCTTTGCTTTCTGCCATAAGGTGGTGTCACCTGTGTATCTGAGGTTATTGATATTTCTCCCAGCAATCATGAGAACCCCATGAACAGTGATTGTATATGAGATCTTACTAATACTTGGATTTGTGACTCTTTGGGGCTTTCCAAATCATATTTCTTTGATCTGTCTTTTCTTATACTCATGCTACACTATTTTTAATTATTGTAGTGTTTGAACATATTTCAGTTCAGTTCAGTTCAGTTCAGTCACTCAGTCGTGTCCGACTCTTTGTGACCCCATGAATCGCAGCACGCCAGGCCTCCCTGTCCATCACAAACTCCTGGAGTTTACTTAAACTCATGCCCATTGAGTCGGTGGTGCCATCCAGCCATCTCATCGTCTGTCGTCCCCTTCACCTCCTGCCCCTAATCCCTCCCAGCATCAGGGTCTTTTCCAATGAGTCAACTCTTCGCAGTAGGTGGCCAAAGTACTGGAGTTTCAGCTTCAGCATCAGTCCTTCCAATGAACACCCAGGACTGATCTCCTTTAGGATGGACTGGTTGGATCTCCTTGCAGTCCAAGGAACTCTCAAGAGTCTTCTCCAACACCATAGTTCAAAAGCATCAAATCTTTGGTACTCAGCTTTCTTCACAGTCCAACTCTCACATCCATACATGACCACTGGAAAAACCATAGCCTTGGCTAGACGGACCTTTGTTGGCAAAGTAATGTCTCTGTTTTTTAATATGCAGAATAGGTTGGTCATAACTTTCCTTCCAAGGAGTAAGTGTCTTTTAATTTCATGGCTGCAGTCACCATCTGCAGTGATTTTGGAGCCCCCAAAAATAAAGTCTGACACTGTTTCCACTATCTCTCCATCTATTTCCCATGAGGTGATGGGACCAGATGCCATGATCTTAGTTTTCTGAGTGTTAAGCTTTAAGCCAACTTTTTCACTCTCCTCTTTCACTTTCTTTTTTTTTTTTAATCTTTTATTTATTTATTTATTTATTTATTTTTATCACAACCATAGTCCTCTTTCACTTTCATCAAGAGGCTTTTTAGTTCCTCTTCACTTTCTGCCATAAGGGTAGAAAGTGCATATCTGAGGTATTGAACACATTTAGAATACATTAAAACTCTAGATTACAGAATCATTAACACCTTTGTATTACTAGGTTTTTTAATCTAAATACCCTTACAGAGTCCCTGGAATGATCTACAAGACCCTACACAATGGCCCCACTGTATCTGCAACTCCTCCTACCTTCAAGTCCTTCCGCCCACTGCCTCCAATGCCAGGCACGCTCCTGCCTCAGGGGTTTGCTGCTTGCTGTTCCCTCTGCCTGAGGTCCTCTTCCACCATACACCCACGAAGTTCATGCCTCACCTTTGTCAGAATCTCCGTTCAAGTGTTCCCTTCTCAGTGAGCCCGCCTCTCATCACTGTTTAAAATAGTAATTCACCACCCATGCTGGCACTCCCTATTCCTCTTCCCTGTTTTATTCTTTTCCAACATTTTCACTCTTTGACAAACTTGGTCAAAGAGTTTGTTTGTTTATTGCCTCTCTTATCACCACTAGAACATACACTCCACACTTAGCACTTTTTTCCTCCAGTGAATACTTATTGGCTAAATTAGTGCCTGGCACATAGTAAGTAGGGCTTCCCTGGTAGCTTATGCTAAAGAATCCACCCTGCCAATGCAGGAGATGCTGGTTCAGTCCCTAGGTCAGGAAGATACTCTGGAGAAGGAAATGGCAACCCACTCCAGTATTCTTGCCTGGGTAATCCCATGGACAGAGGAGCCTGACAGGCTATAGTCTACGAAGTTGCAGAAGAAATGAACACAACTCAGTGACTAAACAACAGCAACAATATAGTAAGTGCTTAATAAATGCGAGTAGAATGAATGCCTTTCTGGCTTTCTCAAGTCTTTTATGTCCTTTAGTAAATCTTATATATAAATCCTGCCCATTTTTTAATACTAATGACTTTTTATTGTTGTTATTTTAAGAATAATTTCTCCTACAATATTTTCCATTATATTGTTATTGCTAATACATAAGGCAATCATTAATAAGTATATTTTTATTTTATAACTGATGACCTAGTTGTTCTATATCACTATTTCAAGTTTCTTAGATGATTCTCTTGGGGTCTTTTAAGTAGACAATTCTATAATCCATAAAAATTATATTCAGTCTTTTTTCCTTGTTGCATTGGCTAGAACGCTTCTGATAATCTTTAACAATAGAAAATGATGAGCAGTCTTGCCCTATCTCTAACTTAATGGTGATGTCACTAGTATTGAACAAAGAAAAAGTGTATAAGTTGTTGATCTGAAATTACTCTACATCATAATGAGTAATTATCATTCTATTCCTATTTTGTTCATAGTTTAAAAACTAGTAATTGATGTTGAATTTATAAAATGCTTTCTTGACATCTATCTTTATGGTATGTTTTAATTTGTTTTTAAATTATGAATATAATGCTTTTATGGTAAGAAATACAGTGAAAAGTTTGAGTGATCTTTCTCCATTCCAGTTTCAACCACTAAAACTAGCTACTTTCAATAGTTCCTTTTAGATTTTTCCAGATTCCTCTAAGCACATACAAATTTATACATGAACAGTCCTTTTTTTCCTAAATGAGATCATGTATTGTTCTGTAACTTGCTTTTCTTCATATATGTCTATCTTATACTCTACATGTTTGCATACTATTTCACTATATAGTAATAATTTAGCCAGTCCTCCATTAATGGATATTGGTAACCAGGTTTTCACCCCTTCTATTATAAATCTTGCTGCAATTAATATACAGTTACATACATCTCTGTGAACTTGGACAGAGTACGTATTTCTAGTGTATTTTTCATTCTATTACTAGGATGAATCTTTTGAAGGAAATTTTTTATATTCTTAGTTCCTAAGATAGTCTATGGAAGTGAGTTAAATCTTGTTTTTACATAATATATCTAAAATGGCATATCTTCCAAACTCCCCTTTAACAAGTAAAAACAATACCACAAATATTAAGATATATTATAAATACTTAGTTTTGTAGTATTTATATTAAATTTTAAAAAATTAACATTTAACCACTTTGAGCCATTATTTTTCTCCATTGCAGTAACATAAATTAAAGAAATCAGATCTTCTTGACTATCCCACCTTGAAAAAGCAGTGAAGTTCATGACTCTCTCAAACATGTTTAACACAGTTTTTATTAACCAAAATGGGTATTTGCTTTCTGGATTAACAGTCTTTTTTATTCTCCAGCCATTTTTGTGTAATTTGCAAGTGTAGAAAACCCAAGATAAATCAATTTTGCATACTAGGTCTTACTTTGTAGAAACCAACTTCAGTATCTTCTAAAAAGGCAAAGTAGAAGAAGGAAGGAGCAAACTCAAGGGTGTTAGTGAAACCGTTGTTGTGTTTCAGGAAGGATATGACACCTTACCCACTCTACTCCCCACCAAGTGATGGTCAGTAGTTGAGAAAGTTTCATTTGAATTGAATCAAAAGGAGGAAAGGCTGATAAACATCTTATGGGCTGATTTTAATTGGGGCAAGGAAAGTTTGTCTTCTTTCAAGGCTACTTCAGTCATTATGTCTTTCCCTATTGACACTGGGGTCTTGCATAGGTCCTGAATTACTGCCATGTGTCAGCTGGCTTCATAATGTCAAATCCTGGGGGTGAGAGCCTCGTCTCTAAACTCTCTCCAAGCTAATGAGTCACTTACCTGCTAATCCCTTTGTAAACTGTAGCATAAGAACCTTCACCCAGCTTCTCCAAGTTCAAGTAAGATGAAGCTGCCCCAAAGGGGAGGCTCTTCCTCTGCATAAGGGGAATGAGAAGTGAGGAGTGGGAAAGAAAAGAGCATATTTTTAGTGCTGACTATTCCCCCCAGAGAAATTAGACAGCGTTGCAGAATGTGCTTGGGAAGGTCTGCTCAGTAATTGTCTTGGAAAAAAGGACCAGCCTTCCTAGACAAGCACACATTAAATTCCTCTTGATCAACATCAGCTGCTCACTCACCCACTGAAAACCTTGCCTCAGATCTTCTTCCTGTAAAGAATCGCTGTTGCTCCTCGGCCTTTTACTCTTGAACTTCCGGGCATGCACAGCCTGAAGTCCCCTGGGGTGAAATGAAGTCATGGAATATGATGCTTCTTTTAGGTCTGTTAGCTAGAGAAAAAGGAAAGTGCAGGAATAAAATTTATGCAAAGTCAAGACAATGGTTAGCTTAAATCACTTTTTCTTAATTTGCCTGATGTTAACTCTTCAAATCTTTTCTAAGCTTCCTACACCTCCAAAATGTACCTTTCTTGAACATCACTTCCTTTAAAAAACAAACAAACAAAAAAACCCCATAATGGTATCAACTGCTAAAACACAATATTCTTTCTTTACCTAAAAATCTGTCTTTAAACACTTAGGTTAACCTAAATTTCTCTGATGGATGGGTTTCAATTTTTCTGTTAAACCTAGACTTTTCTTTTTCTTGTCCCTTTAATTTATCTCTTTAGGGGAATAACTTTCTTGTACAGCATTGCTGATAGCCATGAGCTAATTACCGAAATTTTTAATCCATAGGATACAAAATAGTGCAGCTTGTTTTCTGAGGTTCAGCTCGCTAATTTAATACTTCAGAGACTTCAAGAGAATAACTTTCTTGACTGCAAGGCAAGTGAGTTTCGTGCAGCCCAAAGCAGAGGGTTATTTTTCCCTTTTGGCTTAAGAGAGAATCCCTGAATTTGATAGCAACAGCCACACATTCTTTGTGACTTTAATAGAATTTTCTTTTTATTGCCTTAGTTCTAGTGCAGGAAAATCAGACCCTGCTACAGAAAGGGAGCCTCTGAACTCTGTTTATCAATAGAGGAAGATGCTCCTGGGATACGAATACCTCGATTGCAGCCTCCGTCGTCACAGGCGCACTCCTCTGACAGCTGTGTGCGTTGCCTCCTTCCCAACAGTGATGGCAGCTGCATCCAGGCTGCAGAGCCTTTGCACACAGCTCTTGACCCATAATCTTCTAGGTTCAAGGAGAACACCAGCGCTTGAACCTCTCTCCCTCTGTCTCCCCTGTCCTTGTTCACTGCCTGTTTGCCAGAGGTCGGCAGCGCGGGAGCTTTCATGTGACTCGCATAAGAGCTCTGTCTGGAGCAGCCTCATGACTTCAGCAGTTTTTCTTGATCAGTGCAAGAGAGTATACCTCAGAAAGGCAGCCGCCTGCATTCATACGTGCACAAGGGGCTCCAAGACAGCTAATGTTGGATAGAATAGACTTGGACACAACTCAAGTTCTTCCAGCTACAAGTTAGTGCCACTGGTATACACCTTTTTAATGAGTTTGCATTGCTTATCCATGTTACTGAAAGTATTTATTAGACTTTCCTGGACATGTTGAGGAGTATTTTTTCCCTGCCTTTTATGTGAAGGTATTTTGTTTTTAAGACTTCAGAATAAATTTGCAACCTAACCAACTTTTAGTAGTCAAAGAAACCACAGAACCCTAGGACCAGCAAGAGAGCTGAAGATATCTACTCATCTCTTTGCCTTCAAGTAACAGTGTAACTAATAATCCCAGAGGGGTACCCATTCATTCACGGATTCAAAAACTATCTAGTGAGCACCTGTGATGTTCTTAACAATGTTATCCCATGGTGGAGAGACAGGAGTTTGCAAGAAATATTTTCTCTCCCTCTCTCCTTCCCTCTCCCGACCTCCTTCTGTCCACATAAGTGTAATTAACATTTACTATCAATATATTAATACAGTGACATGTCAGGGCACGATCTCAAGCTAGTTTGCAGCCTTTGAACAGAACTTTTTTCTCTTATAGAATCCTAAAGGTCATTGCCACTATAGCGTGCTAATTAGAGTAGGATGGAAAATAAGACACATGCACATACACACATGATCATTGAGGAGAAAATAGGAGTCATCTCTTTTATCACAACAATATTTACATATATTTGATACCTGAATCTTACAAGAATAATTATAATTATTGTAATTATTCAGATAATTTAATTATGAGCATGTGTGAGGCTTTATTTCAAAAGTGCCACAAGAGACCTAGAACAGGTCAAGTCAATGAGTCACTCAAATTAGAGATGAAAACAATAACAAAAGCAGACTGGTTACACTAATACAGAGAAAAGAACCTTTGGTTACGTGATTAAACCTTTAAGTGATGATCAACAGATAGTGAAAGAAGCTAGTTTCTCAAAATATTTAGAATCTAACATAATTCACTTATAATACTTAGTAATTTTATCAGAAATTCTGAGTTCTTCCTAAAAAATCATGAATTTTGTTAGACAAAAGTTATATCCCAGACAAAATTTGAGAAAGTTATCCTTTATCACCCTCTAATTATCATAAGTTTTAGAATTTTTAAAAGATTAGTATTTTTATTAGCCTAGGGGTTAATCTACCAAAGTCTCAAGTTGCTAAACTAGAATAGTCAGATTTTTTTCAAGGTTTAAGATGGCATGTTTAGAAACTGGAAAGGGCTACTGAGGGAAAGTGTGAAATACCCTTTAGAATTTTAAAAGATAAAATAATTTATGGTCTTGTTTAAAGTAAAGGAAAAAATATTAGATGCGTTAAGATGCTTTCTAGCTCTGTGTCATAAATTATTTTTGTACCAAAGACTTCTGAATATAGATAGAAAACTTGGGTGACTTCATTTAAAACTGTGAATCCGACCCAGTTCATGTGCCACTCCAGGCGGGTCGGACCTGCCACAGGGTCTGGTTGGCTTCTTCGTGGCAGAAACCCACCCTGCTGTCTTGAAACATGGCCACTCTCCCACCTCATTGTCCAGAGAGCTCCCCACCAAGAAGTTGCCAGGGAGGAACCCCTGCGTCTGGTCACCAGTCTGAATGGACCACCAGAGGCTCTGGCTTCTCTGGCAACTCTGCAAGGGCCAGGTGACAGAATCGAGGAACACAGGAAGCCCATACAGGGACTTCCACGATGAAACCAGCCGTGTTCCTTGTAGAGCAGAAGCCAGCTCAGAAACACGTCCCATTTATGCTCTCCCTTCCCTGGTTTACTCCCTTCCCCTCTCATTTCCACTTCCCTGGGATTGCACGTGACCCCTCCCCATCAAAATTAAGTGTTTGTATATAAACTTTTGCTTGAGGTTTTGTTTGCAGAGAATCCATGTTGACAAATGGAAGCCATTTTTTAAATTAGCAGTAAAATGATAGGTTTCAGGCTAGATTCTCCCACCTACGATTTTGGAGTCCCTTTTTCTCTCTCAATTGGTATGTATTTAAACAGCTGTGTTTAGTTGAGTGTTTGTACTTTTTCTAAGAATATTGCATTCTATCTTTATTTCATTTAGCCAGACTATTAGGAATTTTGGTTTAATTATAACCTTTCTAGAATATGTAGATTATCATAAACATTTAACAGATATTAACATGAGAAATAATATGAAGTCTGTGTCAGAAAAATTTAAAATAATCCTCATAGGTCCAATGGAATGCAGCTATACTTTAAAAAGTCTCTATGTAATGAAATGCAGTGATCATCAAAATAAACTGTTAAGTGGAAAATGCTTTTGTGTGTTACCTTTTGTGGCAAAGACTTGTGGGGAAATAAAGTATAGCAAGTTTTACTAATAGTTGCAATATTACTATTACTATTTTAAAATTGTTACTGGTGTATTTCAGGATTAAACATGTGATTATTTAATGTCATTAGAAACCAAACTTTTCAGCTTAAGAGAAAATAAACATAAACATCAGATTGAAGATATCAAATAAAACTTACATAATCTTCAATTTGATTTGGAAATATTGGTATAAATGTTTTGATTTTGATTATGATTTTTTTCTCTTAAAAAATAGCCTCTCTCAACCAAAAAGATATAGATACAATGACAACTCAATACCAATGAGCACTCCTGGTGCTCAATTTGTGATCTCTAAATACCATTTTCTATTAAAAAGACCCAAAGATCCATGGAGGAGTGGTGGCTGAATGTCTGGAGCATGAAATCTAGAAAGTTATCAAGAAATTCATCAAAGGCTAATCTTAAGTCAATGAAGTCATGTCAAAAAGGACATAGGAGCCAACCTGAGAGTCTCATGTGGTTTAAGAGGGGACGATTTGAAAACCAAAAAAGAATAATGGCTACAAAGGATTGGCACACAGTAAATACATAAAACCCATAACTTTATAGTTATTTGAAGTATAAAGGACCACTTGAAGGTTTCTAGTGCAGCAATTCATTACTCAGGATATTGAGAAATAAAGGGGAAAATCAAGTACTTTCTTTATCTCTTCTATACAGATTCTTTTTCCAGGATTATCAAGTAGTTAACGAGGGGGAAATTCTTTTTCATGGAAGAATTCCAACTAATAAATCCAGAAGAAATGACAGAAGTAAGAAATTCACTATTATGCAGTCCCAAATGCAATAATGGAGAAGGCAATGGCAACCCACTCCAGTACTCTTGCCTGGAAAATCCCATGGGCAGAGGAGCCTGGTAGGCTGCAGTCATGGAGTCGCGAAGAGTTGGACACAACTGAGCAACTTCACTTTCAGTTTTCACTTTCATGCATTGGAGAAGGAAATGGCAACCCACTCCAGTATTCTTGCCTGGAGAATCCCAGGGACGGCAGAGCCTGGTGGGCTGCCGTCTGTGGGGTCGCACAGAGTCGGACACGACTGAAGTGACTTAGCAGCACCAGCAGCAACAATACAATAATACTTCAAAGCAGCGATCATTAATGGATGTTAAAACGGTTAGGTGAAAGATTTTTTTTTAATGTTTGTTCAGCCACACCAGGTCTTAGTTGCGCACTCAGGATTTTCGATCTTTGCTGCAGCATGCAGAATCTTTAGTTGTGGTATGCAAACTCTCAGTTGTGGCATGTGGGATTCACTTCCCTGACCAGACCTCCTGCTTTGGGAGCATGGAGTCTTAGACAATGGACCACCAGGGAAGTCCCTAGGTGAAAGATTGATAAGGAATTCTGCAATGAAGGGTCAGGTAGACACCGTCTGTGTCCTCATATCAATCTTAGCTCCACTAAATTTGGGACCCAGACATTATGTGCCTCCTGATGTGATGATACAACAGAAATTGCACAGCATCACTTGTGATGTATTTTTGACTAAGGAAAAAAAATTTAACCTGAAGCCAATCAAATATCTACATCTAAAACCAGATTGCAAGAAACACAGAGAACAGAAAAGTTACATAATGCCACAAGGAAACAAATCCCTAAATCAGAAATGTCAGTAAACCTGATTTCTCTTAAAGCAGCAATGGCAAAAAAAGAAAAAGTCAAGAGACAGGACAAACTAATGCAATATGTAGACCTTATTTGGATACTGATTTGAATAAACTAACTGTAAAACAGTTTCTTTTTAAAAAATAAATTAACTGTAAAACAGATTTTCCCTCCAGCTTTACTGAGGTATAATTGACAAAAAATTTGCATGTAATTAAGATGTACAAGGTGATGTTTTGATATATGTATACTTTGCAAAATGTCTACTAGAAGCAAGCTAATTAACATATCAATCCCTTCACAACTTTTAAGTGAGAACAATTAAGATCTACTCTTAGCAAATTTCAAGTATACAATACACTGTTGTTAACTATAGTCACCCTGCTGTACATTAGAGCTCCAGAATGTATTTATCCTGCATATCTGAAACTTTGTACCCTTTGACCAACATTTTCCCATTCCCCCCACTTCCCAACCCATTAACAACTGTAAAATGACATTTCTGAGACAAATATGGATATATAAATATGGTATTAGATGACATTAAGAATTCATTTTCAGTGTTGCATGATGATTATGTTTTTAAAACAATTATATGGTTAAAGATGAATACTCAAGTATTTGCAGGTGGTTTGAAATATTTCATAAGAATAATATTGGGGATAAAATACCCAAAATTGGTAAAAATGTTGATCATTGGTTAAGCTGAGTGATGGCTATAGGGAGGTTCATTTCTGTGTGTTTAACAATTTTTTAAACAAGACAGAA